AATATAATAAGAATATAATAAAATATAAGAAAAAGAAAAGAAAATAGAAAAATATTAAAATTCGATGAAATTTTGGGTACTACAATAGATAAGATTGATGAAAGAGATAGAATTTTTTTTTAGTAATGTATTTAAAAATAATGAAATAAATAACTGATAATTGGATCAAAAATAATTTCTTAAATTTCTCAGATAAAAGTAATTATAAGCATGGAAGCTGTTTTAAATAATAAATTTTTTGTTAGTATCAATTCAATATGCTACGTCCAACAACCTGCCAAAAAAAAGCAAAGAAGGCTTATGAAGCGAAAGCGCATAAGTATAATATCAATGCTAATAACTCTGAAGCAGAAAACTCTGATAATACTGACAATATTTCTGTTTATGATGAGGCGGCTGAGAATGACAATGCTGCAAGCATTATAAAACAACTTCAAGAAGCAGTTAAACAATATGATCATTATGGTAATAATACTGAACTAGAAGATGATGATGATGATGGCAATCTTTCTGCTTATAATGAGCCATTTGAAAATGATAACGCTGAAAATATTGCAAAAAAACTTCAAGATGCAGTAAATAAATATTACCAGGAATGTGATTCTAGCCAACCTCGTAGACTTCGCTATCTAGGAAACTCAGTCTGCACTAAAAGAAGAAAAAGACAACAACAGTGTGAAGCAGCAAAAGGAACCCCTCCACTACATACTTTTTGGAACCAAGAAAAATCTCATCAAGAAGCTGGTGAAGTAGAATCATATGATAAACAGTTAGAAGGCAAAGGTCAATTGGAGAAAGTCGATGAGGAAGTCGATAAAGAAGTTGATGAGAAAGATGCTAGAGAACTTTTAGAAGATGAAATTGAAATCGATAATTAGCATAAAAAAATTCCAGCTGCTCTTGAAAATTTAGCATTAGATATCAAAAAGAAAATGTAAATAGTGAAGTTTGGATACACTTTGTAGTATCCGTTTTTATCTTCAGCTCATAAAAAATAACCACCAAAAAATGGAAGCAAGTAAAATAATCTCTGATGTAGCAGGAAAAGGGTATATTATGCTAAATGCATTCGAACTTGGGCGCATGAGTATATTATGACAGGTAAGATTCCCTATTTTTGTTGAGGACACCACACTAAAACATGGAGCTTTCTTTGGGATGAAGATATTCTTCTTCAAATAAAATCGTATGTTCGGGAAAATAAGTAGAATATTACACCACGTATGCTTATGTTATAAATGAATAAGGTTATCTTACCAGTGCTCAGATTTGCACCACCTCTGACCATCTCTCTTAATACTGCCAAAAATTATTTAAAAGAGCCTGAGTATATATACAGAAGAGTACAAAAAGATGTTTACGTAGACGGATATGAGAAAGAAGATGTAGTAGCCTATCAGAATATATTTTTGAGACGAATGAGTAAACTTGAGCATAGAATGCCAGTATTTTCAGGAGATAATATGGTTGCAGAAACTTGGCCAGATAGCAATGTACAACCCCTTATTCTTGTTATACATGATAAATATATTTTTTCTGCTAATGATGGAAGTCGATACCTTTGGATTCCTGATGGCGAACAACCTTTACGAAAAAAAGATCAGGGCCGTTCAATTCATGTTAGCGAATTTTTAACTCATGGTCGACTTGTACTTTCTGATGAAATGCAACCATCAGATGAGCTTCCTAGAAAAGCCTATGTTATCATATACTCTGACAAAAATGGTGATGGATAGTGGAAGGCTGAGGACTTGGTTGACCAGATAGTCTATCATGTTTTCTGTAAAATATTATATTATCACTATTGCAGTAATACACAGTGTGTAGTTAAGGTTATGTTAATACATACTGAAATTAACTGTCATGACTTCTACTATATCACATGGGTTTGGGTCAAAATCCTATCAAGAAAAATCCTGACAGGTCATAATTCTGACAAAAAAATCCAAACAGGCAAAAATCTGACAGTTAAAAATCCTGACAATTAAAAATTCTGTAAAAAATATCATAAATCATGCTTATCCTAGTCTAATCTTTATCTAAGTAAAAGATAATTAAATTATAAGAGCCTACTTCACTTTAAACATACCTATATTTCTTGAAAATTCTGACTATCGGGATTTTTAATTGTCGGGATTTTGACCAGCACCCATATTAGGTTTTACTATAAAAAAATTATATTATCACTATTGCAATAGCACAGTATGTAGTTAAGGTTGAGTTAGTACATATTGAAATTAACTGTCATGACTTCTACAGTATCATGCTTTACTATAAAAAATTTACAAAACTTACTGACTATTGGTAACACAGGTGGTTAACCGTGCTATCCCCATATTTGAAGCATGCTTTCCAGGATGCCAAGCTTTGTTTGCATTTGACAATGCAACAAGCCATGCTACTTTTTCAC